CTCATGACTATAGGTGGACATTTCTGCCTTCCTTCCTTCCAGGGTTAGTTGGGGAGGGGAGTGACAACTCCTCCTTCTCTAGAGTACACACAGTTACCAGTCTATGGCCTCCAGGATATATCTTGCACCTTGCCTATAGATTCTGAACAGAGAATGGAAGGGAAGGGCCCTGTGTTTAAGTGATAACCCTTGATGTTGTATCTGAGATTGAGCCCTTTAAGTTCTGTCATGTTAATAATTTGACTCTCAGCAAATAATTTTCCAATTTCCAAGACACTAAGAGAAGAGTGGAAGCTCTGGTGGCATAGTGCCTAAGGCATCTGACTGCTAACCAGAAGGCTGGAGGTTCAAACCCACCAGCTCCTCCTCGGAAAGAAGATTGGGCAGTCTAATTCCATAATGATTGCCTCAGAAACCCAAAGAGGGGTCACTATGAGTCAGATCTAACTCCATGGCAGTGAGTTTGGTTTAGTTTTTGGAAAGAGAATAGTGAGGTGTCAAATAAGCAAATCTGGGCTGAGTAAGGAGAGACTTTTTCAAAAGGATTATTGCAAGGTATGGGAAATGGTACCATTGCCATAGAGCAAAGGGAACTATTCAACAGAGAGACCACTCTGACTGTAATATCTGCAGACGTCTCAAGGATTAGACAAAAAGGGAGTTTTCTTTTACAGAGGAAAAAAGAATAGAGTGTGGAGAAGTGGGGTGAAAGGATAGACTGATCAACTAGTAGATTAGAGGATATTTTACAATGAGGCCAGCATAAAAAGGGGGCCAAGCAGTTCAGCTAATCATTTGTGAGACAAATGGGAATTTGGAGCATCTGTATCTAGACTTGCCATGGCATCTGTGAGTCTTATCTAGGACATATGGGGAAGGATGGTTCTTTGCAATATGGCATTTTCAATACAAAGAGTAAGAGGATTTCTTAACCTTGACTCTTTTCCAGGATCATAGGGTTCAGGTGAAACGCAACTTTGGCAGAGGGGAAGTGCTTGAACAGTCTCTCAGAAAGATCAGCACAAGGCCGGTCCCCATGAGGCGGAGGTTAAAGATGTCCCAAATGTCCGAACTACCGTGCCACTCCCATCATTTCAGACATTAACTCCTCCTCCTCCCAGTACTTTCCCCCATCTTAGGGTTCTGTATTTCGCTGTAAATGCCTCACAGAACTCACAGACACCCAAGGGATCATCTCACATAGTGGTGGAGGCTGGCAGGCTGGTGAGTCCCAGGTCTGTGAGTGGGTCTGAAGGATCCTCCCAATTCTCAGGGTTTGATGAACCTCGATCAGCAGATCAGATAACGGCTGCTGTCCCAAATCCAGGGGTGAGATGAGGATGAGCCAAAACACAGAACCGGAGCAAGAGGAGGGTGAACCTTCCCAGGAGATTCGTAGGTATATCCTCAAGGAATCTAAGGGTGGTGATTTGAATTATACCCGCCAGCAAGGCAGGACTCAAGATACATTCCACCTGTGTTGCTCTGACAGAAATAACCCAAGTGGATGGCTTTAACAATCAACAGCTCAAGGCAAATCCCATCACAGAATCGATTGCCAGTCATCATAGGGAACAGTTACTACCAGCTGCCCAGCCAGGTTGACACCCGACCTTAACTACCACACCACCCCAAACAGGCATGGATAATAGGATTTGTAATACATCACAGAATGGAGGACAGTGGCTAGAAGGGCCACATCAACCATTTCACTGCAGAAAGTGAGTTTCTTTCCTACAGCCAGGGTACTGTACTTGTGGCAGGGAATCTCTGGGGTCTAATACACAGGGATCATGGTACACAAGGGTGAGCTCCATGGACCCTTCCTTCATTGCCATAGACTTTCCAAGAACCAGATCCACAGTCCTGTGGGCCCTGGGAAATCTGTGATCCCTCAGATCAGGTTTCAGAGTTCCTTTGAATTAACAGGAAATGGCAACAACGAACACTGGTCCAGTGAGTTCAACATGGCAGGAATTCTTCCAGAGAGGGAGAAATGCTCTTCTCCTTTCTGCTTGTTTAAATTTCTGTCTGAGAGCTATTTCATAATTATATTTGCGTCTTCATCCTCATTTGTAAAATAATTTAAATTCTAGTGAATCACATTGTTATGTGCTATTGAGTTGATTCTGACTCATGGTGACCCCATATGACAGAAGAGAGCTTCCGCATAAGGCTTTGTTGGCTGTAATCTTTATGGGAGCAGATTGCCAGGTCTTTCTCCCCTGGTGCCACTGGGTGAGTTCACATGGGTGTGTGTAATTTAGTAGTAATTTTTGGTGTAACCCACTATCAACTGTAACAAATTGGAACTGTTTTCTTAGAAGTAATGCCCAGAGAGTCAACTGAGTGACAAGAGTTTTGTTCCCCCTGTAGTTTAGGTGTGTTTGCTTTGTGTGGCACAGGAGAAAAGACCCCAGGGGAGCAAATGATTCTGGTTCCTACCTTGGCTGGACACACTCAAAAAGGGCCACTCTCCAGTCCTTGAGATCAGTAGCATTACATGCAGCCCTGGCTGTTTGGGTATTTTTATCCAACCCAAGGATTAGAAGAGGGGCTTCTTAAGGAATGAGCCCTTTGAAGGAATCTTCAGAAAAGGCTACGAAATGGGGCAAGATGGTCACCTTCAGAAGTGAAAGAACAGAACAGAAGTTCAAGAAAGCTTTCAGTCTTAGAATGTTATTAGGACTAATTGTCAGAGAACAGGAGATGGTAGGAGTTTGGGGACTTTATGTGACAGGTTGGAGGTTCAAGTCTACCCAGAGGTGCCTTGAAGGAAAGCCCCAGTGATATACTTCAGAGAATTCAGCTATTGATGACTCTGTGGAGCGTAGTTCTGATACTCATTGGGTTGCCATGAATTGGAGTGGAGTTGGCAGCAGCTGTTTTATTGTTGTTCCTGCTTTTAAATTGTGTTTACCTTCAATCAGCTTCCTGATACCAAAGGGCCTATAGGCTTATTTTGGGAGGTCAAAAAAGCGGGGTTTGTACTAGATTTGGAGTCAGAAGAACTAGTGATGGCATCCAGGAATGGGGGCTGCTGGGAGACAGAACAGGAGGATGGCTCTTTCAACCCTAGATTCGTAAGAACTTTTATCAGTAACATCTTTAAAGAAAACATACCCAATGTTCATATGCACATTCAGTTATAAAATGAATGTGGATGCTTTGGTGACTTAAAAGATAGGGTAATTGAGAGGTGCTACTTGATTTTAGCATACAGCTTGATGGGAAGTAAATCCTTGGATCAAGCTTCTTTAGGTAGAGTTGGGTTTGAAATGATACTCTCTCTGCTAAGAATCAGCAACAATGCATCCAGTGAACACCCCAGCTGACTAGCCATTCCTGGCTCTCTCCAGGCACTTGCTTTTGTTGTGGGGTAAGCAGGCCCTTCTGGTCAGTGGGGTGGATTTTTTGGTTGGCTGAGTGGTTTCAACCATTCTGTAGCTGGGAGAATGAGGATGCATGAGCCGTAGTGGTGAGACTCAGCAAGAATGGGTAGGGTAGGCCTTAGCCAGGGGAATTGAGGACCAGGATGGGACTCCATCTGCATCCAGGAGGTGACCCAGGCCCATTTGAGCCAGTGTGGGGAAGGTGGGAAGGCTCTCTGGGCTCCCTCTTGGTAATAGCCATATTAAAAAAGTTCTCTGAGTCTTATCAAGAGAGAGCTCACAGAGCCTTTCCACCTTCCCCAGGCTAACTCTTCTAAGGAGGAAGGAGGCATTTTATGTGCATACTCAGGCCAAGGAAACAAAAGAATCAGTCTTGATGAAGCCTCACAGAGGCTGCAGTGGGAAGCTGGGGCGCCCTCTAGTGGTGGTTTTGCATCGAAGCTCTGCTAATTGCAGACGTCAGCTTCCCTCTGTGTCCCTGGTTATTGTCACTCACTGCGCTTCCCACTGCAGTAGCTTCCTCACTCTCCTCGACTTTTCTCTAATTTAGCTTGTTCATAACCCTTCATAGGCCCTACCCTATCTCAGGATCTCTTGCTATATTTTCTTTGAAACTTAAGTGCTCTTGCAAGCTGCTTGATTCTTTAAGTTTTCTGGATTGTTATTTGCATTCAGAATCTCTAGACTAGACATCTTGAGAGTGTCTGTGGCTCTGTGATCCTATGTCAAGTAGCCAGCCCCCTGTGCAGAGAGCTCTGACAGGGATAAGCAAAGCCCTGTGGAGCAGAGCATGGCCTTTGCAAGGCTGTGAGGTGAGAGAGAAGCTCTCTGGCTCTGCTAGCCTGATCAGGGTTGCCTGGGAAACTAGGTATGAGTGAACTGGGGTAGCTACAATACCTTATGGAAAAAAAAAAAACTCACTGCCGTCGAGTCAGATCCAACTCATAGCGACCCCTCCTTGGGTTTACAAGGTGGTATAACTACAGAAGTAGATTGCTCAACCTTCCTTCTGAGGAGTGGCTGGTGGGTTTGAACTGGCAGCCTTCTGGTCAGCAGTCTGACCACCAACTGGGGTAGCTACAATACCTTATGGAAAAAAAAAAAACTCACTGCCGTCGAGTCAGATCCAACTCATAGCGACCCCTCCTTGGGTTTACAAGGTGGTATAACTACAGAAGTAGATTGCTCAACCTTCCTTCTGAGGAGTGGCTGGTGGGTTTGAACTGGCAGCCTTCTGGTCAGCAGTCTGACCACCAGCGTTCCTTACAATACCTTATATAAAGCAGGTTTTATATATGTGTGTGTGTATGTACACACACACAATACCTTATAGTACCTACTTTTTTACTGTCTACAAATTAATTAAATTTAGATGCTGTAGGAAATGAACCTAGTTACTGGGGTTCCACCATTGCAAAGATTCCTTGGCCCAGTTTCTTCAACCCACATATGAGAAGGAGAGAGTGGTGTTTGATTTGTTTTGCCTAAACTTGTAGGGACCTATACTCAGCAGATGCATGTTACTTGTGAAGTGTTAAGAAGTAACAGTTAAGAACAATAACAGTTCTGGGTGCCTTCCAAACACTAACTGGAACTGTGTCATTGCAGGCTGGGAGTCCCCCATTGGTGGCATCAGCTCCAGTGTCCGCCTTCTCCCGTACCTCTGCCACCCCATCAAGTCAAGACATCTGCAGGTAACCTCCACTTCAGAGGCTGTCGTCACGGTGCATCCAGAAATAAGCACTGGCATCTGGCGGCTCTCTGATTTTCTATTTGCTTGATCAACATGTCTTTAAACTGTTAGCCCCAATTATATGTGCTGTTTGCTAAGTTACCACACTAGTCTCATTTCTTCACTTTGATGTCTGTTCTCTTTAAAATTGTTCTCACTTCCTGTGCTTTATCCCACTGTTCTGCATGCAGTTCCAGTGCAGTGCTTTCTGAGTGTTGTCACCACAGTCCCATGCAATCTGCTGTTGTCTTGAAAGCTCCTTCATACCAGAGTTCTCTGACACCAGGGCTCACTGTGACAGTTATTCATAAGGACACATCACAGGCGTCAAAGAGAAACTCTTATGGTTCAGAATGGGTCCAGGCCTTGAAGCTTGCTAAGAATACCAAAGCCAGAAGAACACTCAAGTTCTCAAAATCCTTAAATGATATGGGTGAAAAGGCCCAGGACACCGTGGGAAGTTTTGGCTATGTGGAAAGAACTTGTTCTGAAGGAAGGTTGGTACTCTCTCAAGAGCCCTGTCTCAGAATTAACAGGTTCCATCATAAAGAAAAAAGAATACTGAATCGAAAACCTCTTGGCAATTCCAAATACTCTTGTGTTTCATCCCTTTCTGCCAATCATTCAACTGTGTCGGAGTTGGAAGCCGGCAAGGGGAACATCCACATCCCACTTTTGGAAGAGAAAGCAGATGGTGAGACCCTGTCCAGGAGCAGGCGACTGCTGCGGTACCTCTTTCCACTCGGCCCAAGTGCCAGCAGCCTGCATAGACTCCACGAGCTGGAGGGCTGCGCTGCCCACCTGCACATGGCCAAGTCCTCCGTTGGGCTGGGTGGGAGCACGGGCTTCTGCTCTGATGACATGGGAGATGACGACGTCTTTGAGGACAGTGCTTCCACAGAGCTGAAGAGCAGGGTCCTACGGGCACCCCTCTGCTCAGTTGAAAAGGACAGCGACCTGGACTGCCCTTCTCCCCTCTCAGAAAAGCGTCCTCCCATATCTCCTGTGTCCATATCAGGGGACACCTGCAGGTTGGTGTGCCAAGACACCATTCTGGCCATCTCTGCTTCCAGCACCTCTGTAGTCTCTCTCAGCTTGCTTTAATATGTGAAGTTCCAGGAAAGTGAAGCAATAGGCAATTGTGGGTTAATAGTTTTCTCCAGGAGAGTGGAGTTTTGAGATAATTTGAAAAGCTAGTATTTAGGACATGAGGTCTAAGATAGTTTCACTGATGATTTAAAAAAGAAGAAGAAGCTACACATATTAAAGACCAAGCTGACTCTCTTCCACTAAAATTGAGTGGGCTTTGCATACGAAAATTGTAAGAGAGAAACTAGTATCCCTAGCTTTCCAGCTTGATTGTCCAGACTTTAAGCACTTTCTTGCCCCCCCCCCCAGCCTCATTTTACACTTTGTTCCTCCTATAATGGGGCAGGCATGTGAAGCAGGCATTCTCCAGAAGCTCCTGCCTGCCTTTTGGCATGAATGCAGTCACCTCAACCCAGATCTTAGCTCTTTTGTCCATGATTTTCTACCCTTGTGCAACATCCTTTTCTGGCCTTCAAAATCTTTCAGAATCCACTTTTTGTCATCACTCTTATGCCTTTCCCATTCTCACCTTTCCTCAGTCATCCTCTCCTCAGTGCCAGCTGTCACCATTTCTCATGATTGGTTCAGAAACCCTGAAGAAAGAAAGAAGCCATCTGAGAGCCTGGCCAGGCTAGGTTGAGCTCCTTTCAGAACTTGGGGTCCTTACCTGTTTTTCAGCAGCCAGAAAATACCCTTTTGTTTCTCAAAAGCCTATTAAATTCTTTGAGGTTAGTTGCTATATCCTCCTGCATCTGCCCTTGGAAATAATGGTTTTAAATTAATTTCCACTTAACTGCTATGGAAAAAGATGACATTGCAGCACCTTGTAATGTGAGTTTAGGTCCAGGAGAGATGCTGTGGTTTCCCTGTCTCCTCCCAGGAAAGGACAGATGTGTAGTTGTGCTGTGTGTGAAGATGAGGTCAGTGATTACAGTTAAAAATTAAGTTTCATCATCTTTTTAAGTCACTCTGGTATTATTGAAAGGTTGGGTGCTAGTTTTATTTTATTTTTAAATTTTTCTCTATTTTTTTTTAACATGATAGTTTTGGAAAATGCTTCCATGTTGCCTTAAATTCATTTTTCTGCAGTTAACTCTTACCAAAAATGACTACTTTGTCATTTCTTATATCATTTTTTTCCTCTCTGTTGCCAAATGCCCTCCAGACTTTCCATGTTGGTGCAGTAAGCTAGAAATGTTTAGTTAGTAGCATTTGTCCTCATTTGTATTTGCTTTTGTGCTTGTAGTCACTTGTGGTATGTGTTTCTGAAAATTTCTTTTGGGGAGATTGACTTTGCACTGAATCGTCATCTTCCCCCTGGTAGTACTGTTCTCCTCATAACAAGTTTTCTCCCCGACATAGGATCTGCCACTGTGAGGGTGACGACGAGAGCCCCCTGATCACTCCTTGCCACTGCACCGGGAGCCTGCACTTCGTGCATCAGGCCTGCTTGCAGCAGTGGATCAAGAGCTCTGACACGCGGTGCTGCGAGCTCTGCAAGTACGAGTTCATCATGGAGACCAAGCTGAAGCCTTTGCGAAAAGTATGTGGGAAGACATTCCTTGGTGGGGCTTTCACCCTTCCTGACATGAATGGCCCCAGAAGAGTTAGCATCGGGGACCTGGTGAAGCCCTAATATTCATTTCTTTAAGAAGTAGGGGCTGGTGTGTACAATCAACATTGTCGAGGTTGTTGCTCTGTGCTGTGCTGAGTTCCAAGTCCCCCCTAGGAAGAAGCTCTTTTCCAACCATTCAGTTGTGGTGTTTTCTTTTTCCTTCACACTGAAACTGCTAGTATGTCTGCCAGTCCTTTGGGCCTTGACCCCAGACTGTTTTGTGACATCTTTAATTTAACATTTTATTTTTTTTATATTAATTGTTCATTGTATGCTGCCTCTTGGGAGCTCTGGTGTTGTAGTGCCTAAGGCATTTGACTGCTAACCAGAAGGCTGGCAGTTCAAACCCACCAGCCACTCCTCAGAAGGAAGATCGGGCAATCTACTTCCATAAAGATAACTGCCTCAGAAACCCAAGGAGGGGTCACTATGAGTCTAATTGACTGGACTGCAGTGAGTTTTTTTAGTATGCTCCCTCTCAATACTAGAGATTGCCAGCACTTAGTACAGTGAAGCATATGGGAAATATGCTTATTTTATTTGTATGTACCCATGATGAGTGTTTATTTGATGAGAGGGTGGGATGGGGAACAGAAAGAAACCACAAGCATGGCATGAAACCCCGCTCTCTTCAGACCCTATATACATAGCTGTCATGTGAGAGCAGCTTTGTCAGTGACACTCACTTGCTGTCTAAATATTGTCTTCTCAGTAACTTTCTCTCTGTGTACCTAGCATGTAAGGTTCTATTTGGAAGAATAGAAAACATGTTCCTATATCAAAAGCTTAATGTGTAAATTGCAAAGTGAATCACAGAATCAGGTTAACAGTACAGGATGATGGCAGTGCCAGGTGTTGTGGTGGTGGAGCACATGAGGCATTCAGAGAAGGAAGTGATCCTGGTGCACCAGAGTGCCAGGGAAGTGGGGTAGCGTCATAGGATGGTAAGGTTTTGAAGCAGTTCTTGAAGGATCAGTAGGATTTAGAGCCAAAGTAGAAGGAGTTTAGAGGGCACATTGTCTATGGAGAAAAAATACACCAAAAAGATGGGAGAATGAAAGGAGTAAACTGAGTATTTCTTAGGAAAATAGCAGGAATTCCGGGAATAGGGAAGACTGAAGCATGAACTGTACATTTGAAGTAGAAAGGTAAATGAAGCTATTGTAAAATCATAGCAGAAAGCATTCTGACTGCTAGAGAAGGTAGGCACTAACTGCTTTAAAATTGTTTTGCCTGATAAAGCCTTACAGTTTATCAGGTGCTTACTCTATGCTGTGGTGGCACAGTGAGTAGGGCATTTGGCTACTAACCAGAAGGTGGGTGGGTCAAACCTGCTCCATGGAAGGAAGATGAACCAATCAACTTCCTTAAAGATTTATAGCCTTGGAAGCCCCGAGAGTTGGAATCAACTGGATGGCAATGGGTTTGTTTGTTTGTTTGTTTGTTTACTCTGTGTTAATCTTTCAAGTGAGTCCTGTGGCTCTTTGACCAACAGAGATAATCCATGAGGCTCTATTTTCAATTCACCCTGCAGTGAACCATCTGGAAAGAGGTTGTGACTAGGATTGGCAAAGGAAATGCAGAGTGTTTACACTTTGTTCTTTTTCTCTACCTTTATGTGTTTCTTCTGATTCGGAAACCAGTAAATGAAAAAGAAAATCTGGCTATGTGGAGTAAATTATTGGGCTCCTAGAGGAGATGAGACTGGCAGAGGCGGCTTGTACCAGAAACTCTTAGCATCGATTCCAAGCTGTTGCTGCCAAAGTAGCAGAGGACCAAAGAGTGAGCTCACTTTCACAATGTAGTGTGACCCATCTGCTAGTGTGCTGTGACTTCATCATTCTCCTCTCACCCTTACCCATGCCAAGAAGGGTGTCAGAGTGACTTACAGTGTGGCAACTGGGTCTGGGGCCAACCTTTTATTTTCATCAGGACTGACTCCATAGAATCCTTTATCAGGCCTCTTAATTTCTGCTTGCAAGGAAAAGCAGACAGAGAGATTGCTGGTGATAGTTCATGGCTCATCTCAATCCCAGCTTCTTTTCATTCCATAGAAAATTGGCTGCCAACAGAATATCAGTGCCTGGTACCTGATTGAAGCCAAATAGCTTCAAGAGAATGATTTTGAGTGTTTGGGGAATTCATCTAGTTTGGAAGAGGGGGTGGAGGGAAAGAAGGCCGTCTTACCCATGTACAGTGCTCTGACCTGTCTTAGCCTCATATCTGCAGGGAGCCTGAGCCTCATGCTGTGCTCTGTTGTCTTCCCAGTGGGAGAAGCTGCAGATGACTGCCAGTGAACGCAGGAAGATCATGTGCTCGGTCACTTTTCATGTCGTTGCCATCACCTGTGTGGTCTGGTCCTTGTATGTGCTCATTGACCGTACTGCCGAGGAAATCAAGCAGGGGCAGGCAACAGGTATGTGTCTGGATGAACATCAACTTAGCCCAGAGTCTGGGGTCACATCCTGGGATCATGAAGTTGGAGCTTTATTCAGGATGGCTTCGCAGGTCATACCTTAAATGTCTGGGTTTCTGAAGGGGACATCATTAGGAGGCACCAAGTGTCCTTTCTGGATATTCCTTTGGCTGTGGTGGTAGTTTTTGAAACATAGTCAGAAGAGACCAACAGCTAGAATATGAGAGTCTCTAAGAACCACCGAGTGGAAGAGGGGAAACAGACATTGTCTCCTACGCCTCCTGTGATGAAGCAAAATTTGACAAGTTAGGAATCCACAGCTTATGGGTAGTTTAGAAAGGTGTATTTGATCGATGTCAGATATTAAACAAGATCTGCTGATAGGCTGACCATATTTTTCTTTCCCAGGAATCCTTGAGTGGCCATTTTGGACTAAATTGGTGGTTGTGGCTATTGGCTTCACTGGAGGACTTCTTTTTATGTATGTTCAGTGCAAAGTATATGTACAATTATGGAAGAGACTTAAGGCTTATAATAGAGTAATCTATGTTCAGAACTGTCCAGAAACTAGCAAAAAGAATATTTTTGAAAAATCTGCACTAACAGAGTCCAACTTTGAAAATAAAGATGGACCTGGACCCTGTCATTCCGAAACAAACTCTTCTTGTTGCACAGACCCTGAGGACACTGGAGCAGCCATCATTCAAGTCTGACTTTATGGAGGGTTTGCCTTTCATAGACATCATGAAGAGCTAAAGGAAATTGTTTACTGCCAATTCTGTACCTTTTCTTAAGTCCTTTTATAATAGTATAGACTGGGCAGGTGAATATTTTAAATGGCTTCTCTTTTTCCAAATCCTCTTTAATGAACTTTCTGGAAAGCCCTCCCATTGGCTGCCTCTCTGCCAATATGTCTGTGGGTGGAGAATGTAGAATACCCCGTGACACCTGAGATGGGGCTGGCTGAGTTCTGGTTATGTTCATAAGCAGAGGTCATGTTCTTGGGCTGAGGCAAGAACAGGAGAAAGCTGGTGCCTGGGCCCTGGGGATCAGCCTCTTCTGGAGACCAGCCATCCCTGCCTAAGGCTTTAGGAATGTCTACCCAGAAAGAATTTCCATACTCACTAAAGAGAGCCCAGAAGGTGACATGGAGACAGCCTCCCAAACACAGACCGTGGCCTCTGTGCCTCTGCTGATGCTGCTTCTGCTGTTTCTCACAAGCAGAGGACCAGGTGCTGTCTACATTGGGGGGAAGAGGGGGTGCAAGTGAGTCACTGAGCAAACAGCACTTTAAAAAAGAAAGCCTTTATTTTGTAATATGTGTCCAGTGTCCATCAAATGAAACTAAAAAAAATGTCTAAGTTAGAAATTTTCCCTTACTATCTCTTTTGCATTATAGTCGGAAAAACCCTTTTTGCCTTATAAATTGTAATATATATAACATCCCCTCTGTGCCCGTGAAACAGATGTGTCATTATAAACAATAGACGAGCCTGAGAGATTTTCTGACCAGGCTTCGTGGGAATGAGTGGATGTCACATGGCAACTTGAGCAAAATTCCTGTGGTTTCAAACCTATTTTACAGAGTCCTTATAGGCCTGCTTTGTTTATGTTTGTTTCTTTTTGGCACTGAAAAAAGGGTTTTTTGAGATCTAAATGGGAAGGAAGGGAATTAAAACAAAACTGAATGTTTTAAAAATACTTCTTTAGACAGAGATCTTGCCAGTGTGTGCCAGATTTACACTGAAGTGTGTGGGTGCACATCCTGATCTGGGGGGGTGTGCATCACAGGTGCTTCTGTGCACTTGCCCACCTTGGCCAGCTTCTGTAGGTGTGCCTGGCAGGCAGGTATTGTGAAGTCACTGCCCAGGAAAGAGAAGTAGATGAACTGGCTCTTGAGGAGGACAAGAAGTAAGACAGCCAGCTGCCCTGGTCCCTGGCCATTCCCCAGTCACCTACTCCCCCCAGCCTAATTCCTTTCATTGCCTTAACCAAACTAAGTAGAGGGGATCCTGTCGGGGCCCCAGCTGGCTAATGGGCCTTTCTGTCATCAGGGATTACACACACAAATCACTACCATCAAATAGCCTTTGTCCCTTAAAAAAGTCTGCTTAAAATTCTGTTTTTAAAAACTCAGTTTTATAGTTTAGGCAAGTAAGAGGCAGCACCAGGAAACAAGGATAGCAGGACTTGTGGCTTCTGAATCTGAGCAGGCCCAGAGGCTGCTCTTCAGGCAGGCAGTCCTCACTGCCCCCCGCCCCACACTGTGGAAGAGGTGCCAGGGGTCCCACCTGCAGTCTTGCCAAGCCCCAGGCACCCATCTCTGTCTTCTCCACAGGAAAAGATGGCTCATTGGCATTTTAGATTGGAAGCCTTACGAGTCCTTTTGAAAGGCCAGAGGAGGTCAGTTGGTCTGATGGCAGGCTGGCAATACTGTCCCCTCCCACCCTGTGTCTGCCTCAGTGGGACCCTGGCTCTGCACTGTCTGTGGAGCTGCTCTGCCTGTCCTCCTTGTGGCCTTACAGATGCTGTCCAGCCACAGGCTGACCCCTGAAAATAGGTCAGCCTGTCCTCTGTCTCCCAGGTTACATCCAGCCCATGCCGTGTTCACTGTGCCTCAAAGTAGAATTACCTGTGCCCCTTCTCAGCCCAGAGATGCCAGGCAGTTACAAGCCCTTCACTCACATGAGCAGAATCCCAGGTCTGTCTTGCCCATGCCCTTTAGGAACTGTCCAGGCACAGCCATGCTTCTGTATATTGTCCCTGTCTTGCTTTAACAGTGGGTGAGTGGTCAGGTGAAAATCCAAGTTCAGTTTTTAATTGTGAATCTCTCCTGCCCTCTTCCCCCAGGAAATCCCCTGTGCTGAGCTTGGAAACACAGAGGCCACTTGTATAGAAGGAGGTGTGCTTAGATAGTGATCTCCTGGGCCACCCGCACAGTGTGGCTGGAACCCATCTTATGGCACAGGTGCCTTTATACCTGTGACTGTAGTATCTGTCACTCATGCTCAGACATTCTTACACAAAGCCTTCTCACTCTTCAGGAAGGCTGAACACCACATCATCACTGGCCAAGCTCCTTAAACCCCCTGCTTAAAGGTAGTGCCTCCCATGTCCTTGTTTTCTCTGCTGAAACAACACACTAACTACCCCTGCCTTTCCCTTTTTTCTTTTTTTTTTTTTTTGCAGGCTGTAGTTGAGCTTCTCTGGTCCAACATTCCCCACCCTTGGTCTCAGCTCTATTTTACCCACTAGAGTAACTTTACCAGGCCCTGGCATGTTGTGCAGTACTGCTGTCTAATCATAGAGCAGACCTGCCAGGCCTTCCTCTGGTCTATTCCCCAGATCCTCCTCTTTTTGCACTTGGCCTTAGTGGGAGGACTGCTTTGCACAGGTGCACATCCCAGATGGCACTTGGCTGACCCATTACCTGGAGTCAGTCTGCAGGTCTTAGGGCCAGGAGGGCTGGTGCTTGTGGACCCAGCAAGGGGAGAGGTAAGCTGCCTCTTTTTCATTTGGCCTTTGTTCCCCGTTAAGTCATAGCAGAATTAGAGTGCTTCTGATTTTGTTTGCTAGTGGTCCTTTGGTTTCATGTGCTCAAGTTTATTGCAAGAAATTCCTGGGGACCCTGTGAAAGATCTTTTCGTACTGCAAGACTTTACCATTACCACCTCTTCCCTTTTTTGTCCCAGTCCACTTTTCTCAATCATACAGGCCTAGTTCCCAAACCTGCCAGTGCACCTACCTCTGCATAGATGGATAGGCCCCAGGCAGCTGAGCCAGTTCAAGAGCCTCGTGTAATCCTTGCAAGTTTGGAAGCTGCCTCTGCTGCCTGGGGGGAAGGCTGCAGGAGCTGGGGACAGGACCACTGGGGAGTGGTCTGATAAGCATCCCAAGCCCTGGTTCGAGAAAGGAAAGAACCACAACGTTGTTGATGCAAATGCACATTTGAATTTAGTTTGAAATATGCAGCTTTTGCATTTAGCCCAAGGAAAGACTCAAACATAGGGAAATAAAAGAACTTCTTTTCATTTTGGAAGTCATTGTTCATGTGCACTTATTACCTATTTAGATGCAATGTTTATGGAAAGTTGATTGCTAATAAAAACCAAATTTACACTGGCTTGTGTGGTGTAGTTTCTAAAAGGCACTTGACATTTGTAAATTTTCTTAACTTAGAAAGTTTCTAGTTATCTAAATGTCTAGTTTTGTATCCTTTTGTGTATGGTCACTGTTTCTCAGTATTACCACTTGAATAATTCTCTGTACAGGCAGGCTGTTTGTGCTATATATGGGAGTGTCTAATTGCAGCAATAAAGCATTTCTTTAAAAAGGTTTACACTAGAGTGTGTTCCTGCAAGGACACTGGACATAGTGGTGGACACTCCAGTGGCTCTGACCACCCCTTCTATAGGTTCTCTGGCTTCACATTTGGAAAGAAAATAATGTAACCTCTGGAGATGTCTGATTACCCCCACCTCCCCTGCCAGGGAGGAAGGCTAACCCCATGGTGGGTAGGAGGAAGCTTAGAGGGTATGCTGGCCATGGCTGTGGCAGTGGTCCACACAGATCTGTTTGCTTCAACCATCTGGGCTTGCCTTGTGCTTCCCACTCCAAGAGGAGCCAGACTATGGGTCAGAGCGTGCTGGGCAGAATGACTTGGGCAGTTGACTGCTTAGCTAGGCTTACCTATGAGATAATTACAGTTTACTGAACCATAGCCTAGCTGAGTAAGGACCAGGGAGTCAGGAGGATTGCTGGTGACAGCTTTGCCAGGTTGTGTCCCCTGGCTGCTGACAGGCTGTCCTGAGTAGGGGCGGTGCCCTAATCCTCTTGTCTGTATGCTCTGCACAGGGCTGTGTGCTGAAGGGCAGGGGGGATACCTCTGAGCATGCCCCCTCAAGGCTTCTAGTGTTCCAGAACTCAGCTAATTGGTTTTAGAGAGTGGTGAGGGAGGTGAGGCTGGAGAGAGGACTCTGAGAGAGAATGTGAAAAGGGTATCTGCTTGATAAGAGCCTCTGAGGTACCTTAGGGACCCAGTGAGTTTTGAGTTTAGCTGAATAGGCACCAAATGGGGTCTTGTCACAGGCAGGCTTGAGGTGATGCTGCCCACAGGCTTTTCTACCCTTTGGCACTGACCACAGAGTGATGGAGGCCTACCACATGACCTACCCCTGTTGTTGTTGTTGTTATTTGCCGTCGAGTCGGACCCGACTCATAGCGACCCCTCCTTGGGTTTCCGAGGCAGTATCACTACGGAAGTAGATTGCCCCATCTTCCTTCCGAGGAGTGGCTGGTGGGTTTGAACCACCAGCCTTCTGGTTAGCAGTCAAGTGCCTTAGGCACTATGCTACCAGAGCTCCCTGACCTACCCCTAGGAGCTGACAAATTACTGCTCTCAGGCAGCCACCTCTTGTGAAGTTTTATTGGCACATATCCATGCCCCTTTATTTACATTTGGTCTATGGCTGCTTCCCTGCTACATTGACAGAGTTGAATAGTTTCAACATCCCTATCTCTCACCCACTATCAAGAATAGCTATCTAGTCTGACTTCTTAGAGCCAAGAAAACTGCGAGGCTCAGGAAGGAAGTTCAACTCTTGAGTCTTTGAAGGGATGGGAGGAAACTTCCGCCTCCCTGACTCGGGGCTCTCCTCCCATGCCCACCCTTGAGGTCTCAACCAGTTCTTGGGGTGGCTGGGAAGAAATGTTAATTTTCCGTGCTTTCTGCATTCAGCCCTGATGCCGTAAGGATGTGGTCAGGATCTTTGGGCTCAAGGAACCACTTAAGATGGAGGAAGCACAGCAGGATGTGAAGTTCTGGTAATAGGGAGATAGGCCTTACTCTAAGCAGGGCCACTCCCCACCCTTCTAGGCTCGGTTCTCATCAACTGTGCAGCCTCCCATGGAATCCCTGTCTTTGCTGAGCTCATCTGAGGAGTAAGCCTGACATGCCAGATCCATCAAGGGTACCTTGTGGGATTGAGGACTGTCCCTTGTTTGGAAGCCTTGAGTAAGGTGGTCCTGTGGGTGTCATCCCTGAACAGGAGCTCTTAAAGTTCCATGGTCATGGCCAAATACCCAAAGTCATCAACAACAAAAGCCCAGCCTATTTAACCAAGGATGTGAAAGGCATCCACAGAATTCCTAAGGTCGGGGTCTCTGCCTCAAGGGAAGCAGTTGCAGGGAGCAGGAGAGGAGACTGGTAGGGTTGGGGCTCCCTGGAAGGCTATGATAGAGTCATCCTTCTTCATCTCCATCCTCCTGGTGACAGCTTTGCCAGGTTGTGTCTCCTGGCTGCTGACAGGCTGACCTGAGTAGTGGCAGTGCCCTAGTCCTCTTGTCTGTATGCTCTGCATAGGGCTGTGTGCTGAAGGGCAGTGGGGATACCTCCAGTAGGTGGGGGGTGAGGATTTTGTCCAGGTGGAATCATAATTCCTCCCTCCCCCTGAGGAGTATGTGTGTGAGTTTTTTGGGTGACTGAACACCACATGTGAAAGGAGACATGTTTTAAATGAACTTTATTTTTTATGACAGCCAATTCTTAATGCAGCCAACAGAAATTTATTTGTAAGACGTTGCATTGGACAAGCATAAATAGAACAGAGGAAAAAAAAAAAACATGTATCTAACAAGAAAAAACATCTATCAGTCCTGAGGTGCTGTTGCTAAGTGGTATGAACACTCTGAGCTGGCACTGAGTATGAAGCCTCACAGGCCTGCTCTGTGCGGGAGGGTTTCCTGGAGTACTGAAACATTTTGAACAAAGTTTGAGATTCACAAAAGATAGAGGAATAAGTGGAGGGAACACTTAGGAGCTTTAAAGTAACCCACCCTGAAGCAGCTTTTGGTTTAGAGCAAATCTGCCTAAGAGCGATATTCCCAGGAATCTTGATGGGCCCTGAGGGGCAAGCTGCACAGGAGGCCTGCCTTGAAGTCTGGGTACCTAGCCCAGCCTTGAGAAATGGGACTTTCCAGAATGACACCTGCCAGCGCTGGGCACTCAGATGGCCACACTGTTGGGAATCCGGTCTGGAGACAAGTAGTAATATGGTAGCTTCTTGTTCTTGTTGCGGTCTGCGATCACGCTGACAATGGTATCAAGGTTCTTGCGGAATCGGGCCATAGCTGCCTTCACAGGCTTCTCAATGAAATGCTCCTCTGGATACATGCCCAGGAATAGCTGAGATCCCAACAGGGACAGACATTAATCTGTGACGAGGCCATGCAGATTGGCAGGCCTAATACCCACACCTCCAGGGACCATGGCATGGGGAGCCAGAGAGACAACCTCTCTTTACCTTCCCATCTCCACCCTACGCCACCCACCAGGAGTGCCTGGGAAAAACAAATACCCTTTGAACCAGCTTTCCATAAGGAAGTCTGGGATGGGGCCTCATCTGTATATGTGAACACCAAGAAACTCAGTGGTTTCCTCTGAGCACCACGGAAAAAACCACATGAAAGAGCTTAGCGGGGAGCTGAGAGTGGTTGTTTCGTGTGTCACCTCTGCAGTGACAGCCACTAGAGCAGAGGCCTGTGCTTTCCTGCCTGCCCTTCTGGGCCCCTCCCAGAGCCTCGTCCACAAAATTGACAGCAGCATGTGGCTGCAATGTACCCAGCCCACTCCCCCACCCACGTTGCTCTGCACCAAGGAGTGGCGCAGGTGGGCCAGCCGCATGTGGGCCTCACCTCATTCTCCTGGAACTGGCTCAGCGCCCACACTGCACCTAGATGCCAGCAGGATCGGCCGCGGTCTGGCAGCGTCTTCACTATCTGCTCAATGGTGACCACGCCCTTGGCTGTTGGTGGCGGGGCCCGCATGGTAGGGGGTGCATTGGGGATCCAGGAGCACCAATCATACTGTTGGAACAGCGGCGAACACGTATGGGCCACTGTGGCGGGCACCCCCTATGGTCCAGGTTCCTGCCCTCTTGCGGCCACTTTGGTCTCCCCATCAGCTAGAAAGGGCAGTTGGCCTTGGTTGCCGCCTGCGGAAAGGATCTCCCCCCTTCTTTCTCTGTCTCACCCTCTCCCTGACAAGCTCTGTGGGGCGCCAGGACCTTACCCTATCTAGTCTGTGCCAGGCACCTGAATCCTTTCCCCTGAGGCTGCCTGAGGGTCCCCTGTGGCTTTCTCAGGAGTGCCGGTGGGAAGGGTGAACCGCCCTGCACCCTGCCTCAGGTGCAGGTACTGGTGACCTTGGCGATTTCCGGCCCAGAGAGGTCTGTCCCTTCGGGTCCTCTGCCTCCCTTACCTGGCCAAAGTTTACTGCTGCATGCTGGGCTGAGGCGGTGAATATCACCACAGTCAGGTACTCGGACAGCTTCTCCCTGGTCTTGATGGACTTCGGGAAGCCTTGTGGGGGGAGAAGTTACCAGGGCTGGTTTAGGCCTGCCTCTTTGAGGTGGCCAGCACACCCCTCTGTGCCTTGTCTCCATACATATTGCTGGAGGGCTCAGGAATGAGCAAGAAACTGAGAGCAGACATAGAAGCTCGGGAGAGTTTTCTGATGTTTCTGACCCCACTCTTAGAGGCTGCTGGAAGCTATGTCTCCTGAACAGACTCCATGAGGCACATTGGTGGTCAGAGGACCCCTGGGGGCTCAGGCCCCAGTACCAAGCAGCAAGGGTGATGCCAAGGGCCAGTGTTACCCAAGGAAAGGGAAGAGGTGCAGAGAAGAGGAGAAGAGGGGTGGGGATAACTGGGGTGGTCCTCACCTGAGGCCTTCTTGCCCCGCATGCCATACACATAAACATCCTTCACAAAGTCCTGCAGCTCCTGGTCTTCCTTCACCACCTGGTCACTCTCGTAGTAGATGTCCACCACCTCAGTCGTGAACCTGGCTCAGGAGTGAGGGCCTCAGACAGCAGTAGGTGAAGCAGCCAGGGTCTGGACTGCATCCCCTCACCTTGCCCATGCCAGCTCTTCCTCTGGGACTGCCTCTGCTCCACAGGACACCCCCCTCCCAGTCCAGAACTCACTCACTTCTGTATTGCTTCCCACACCAGGAGCCCGTCATCCCTGTAGAAGTAGTTGGGGATGTCCTCTTTATTGTCCATGCCCCGGGCCTTGATGGCCTCAGGGAAGCACAGGGATGTGTAGGTCAGCTCCTGCATGGCCCGCTGCACCATCTGCACATGCCCACCGCCCCCTGTAGCATTGGCCTTGAATGGAGAGAGAGAGTGCTATGAGCTGAGGCTCTCTCTCCTTCCAGCCCACAGCTCACCCTTGCATCTAGGAGAAACCAGAGAAATTGTCAGGACAGTGAGGTGCCCATGAATGCAGAGTGGCAGGCTCTGCAAGGTGTGACAGGAGGGATGCTTGGCTCAGTGAAGATTCAGGGTGGCCAGGATGCCAAGGCAGCCAGAGGAGGATGTTACAAGGAGCCATCTTTAGATCAGAGTGATGGGTGATGGAAGGTACTGAAGTGGCCAGATGTGCACAGAGACTGGAGGGGCAGCAGCAGGGGGTAGTGAGCTCCCCTCTCAAGTGGTACAGGTTGTGGGACTCCAGCTCTGGCTGGGTGAGGCCCTCAGGCCTGTTCTGGTCCCCACAAAGGTGCACTGGTCTCAGGAGTCTGCTCTTTGGGTTAAAGGAGAGTACGGACGGCAGGCTTTGTAGATCATAAACACTGTTAAGGGCCAGTGGTGGTGTGCTTAGGGGAATGCTGGGGAGATGCACAGAGGAATCTGAGTCCTCCTTCCAGCTGCTAGGACACACATACACACACACAGGGTGGTTGAGCAGACACCCCAAGGAATTCTCAAGGGAGGACTTGGGTGCTGGGATGATTCAAGCAGGATCAATCAAAGTTGTTCCCTGGTATTTTCTGTTTGGAAAATGAAGGTCACTAAGGGGAACATCTGTGACCAGGTCCTGTGTCCTGGGCCCCATTGGGGAGCCTGCCTGCAGCTGGAGAAAATGAGGCCAAAAGGATTTAAAGAGAGAAAGAGCACATTTGCCTTGGCAACAGTGTTTTGAGTCCCTAGATTCATTTTGATCTGAGATTCTCTCTACCCGTATCATTCCCAAGTACATGAAATAATACATTTCTTTTCCAGCTTCAACTGGTTTTAGTTGGGTTTTGATACCTGCATCAAAAATATGGCTTAATTATGTTGTTGTTATGTGCCATCAAGTCGGCCCCGACTCATAGCGACCCCTCCTTGGGTTCACGAGGCGGTATCACTATGGAAGTAGCTTGCCCAACCTAACTATAGTGACTATCTAAGGAGGGTGAGAGAGGAGGGTCAGGGTGGAGGGCTGAAGTGAGGATCTAGGCCTGGTAAAGTGGCAGGGGAGTCAAAACGGGGAGGGTGCTACTAAAAGAATTTGAGGGGTGATTAGGGACTTGATTCCTGCTTAGTACGGAGAATGGTGGGAACATGGAGGGCCTGGAAAGAGTAGATGGGTGGAGGCTGTGCTGAGTGAGGGGCAGGTCCAGGGCAGAATCACATCAGTGGAGCCAAGTGGGAAGGGTCACATTCATTAGAGCTCAGTGGGCCATGAGGAGAGGGATGGGGCAGGAGAATGGGTGGTGAGGAGCATGCCATGCACTTGGCTAATCCAGTGTCTGAGTCAAGGGCTCTAGAGACAGGCCACTGAGCTGGGGGGCCAGCACTCTGAGCACAACCTCCACCCCTCCATTCTTCCCAGGCCTCTACCATTGAGGGGACTAGGCACTTGGTCTCCTGGTCTTAAGCAGAGATCAACAAGGCAGAAAGAGAGGGTGTCAGCCAGGCAGGGCTCTCCAGGACCTGGGGCAGGGGCACGTACCTTGTCAAAGAGGCCGTACTCACAGATGAGCTGCTCACGAGCCTTGGTGTTGATGGCAATAGTAAACCGCACATGGGCCACCAGGAGCTGGTGGGAAGAAGCCCCTTAGAGAGGATCCAGCCAAGAACTCCTGACCAGAGTCCCCCAGGGACCCTCAGCACCCACCCAACCTGGTCCACTGTGGAGATAGGGGGTCAGGAAGAGAAGTCAAGATTGACAATGCTGATTGTCATGACTGAGTAACTAGTTTCTCAAGGCCTGGAGGACACAGTGTTGATGCCTACCAAGAGTAACAATGATAATAGCCAACACTTGCATAATGCTTCAGTATGTGTCACACACTGTTTTAAATGCTCTATATTATTAGTTATCCTTATCCTCACAGTAATCCTATGTAGCAGGTGTAATCCCTCATTGGGGACCTCATCTGTTTTAAAGATGAATAAACTGAGGCACATAGAGGTTCTCTTTAGCCAAAATACTGTGATCACCCCAGTAGTAAATGCCAGTAGTAGAATTTGGAAAGAGGGAAGGGCAGGGCCACTGTCCAGGATCAGCCTAGTTGCATTTGTATGTCTTTTCAAAAATCTACTCAGCTTGGGAGCTACTATCTTCCTCAGGCAGCTTCAGGTGAGGGGTAGGCAACTCTCAGGGGTCCGTCTCAGCTCTCTCCCCCTCTCCTCCCTCTGTACCAGGATGCCTTCCCCACCAGGTGAGACAGTACTTGCTGTACCTTGAAGATGGGGTGCACAGCAGGCAGCTGGCGGTACATGGCGATGCCAAAAACTTCAGATACTAGATGTGTGCGCAGAAGGTGACTGATGGTCTGGTGGACGTGGAAGTCACTGGAGCGCACCCAGATCTTGGCCAGAAGCCAGTCATATTTTGCATCCGAAGGAAGGAAAATGGGGTTCTCATCTCCTGGGACTTGGTTGAGCTGATACGTTGGAAAAAGAAAATGCACTGCAACATTTCAGTCTACACTATAGCTGTTGGAGAGCCCGGACTTCCAGGAAATCCCAGAAGAATCTAAATTTATTTAGCAGTGACTTTCCAAGGAAGGCAGAGGGCCCAGGTCCCACCTCCATCACTCACTACCCATGTGACCCTGGACAACTCACTGATCCTTACTGAGCTCCAGCTTCATCATCTGTAAGTATGGGAACAACAATCACTCCTTATTAGGGGGATGCGGACAGCATGAAGATATAAACAAGGTGCTTAAGATATGTTCATAAGATCTTCCACATTCTGAAACAAGAAGGAACTCCTGTCTTACTGTACACCCATCTTCTCCTTTCTTGCTTGCTTCCTCGGCTCCCTCCTAGTTTTCTTCCTACCTACCTCTTCTTGTTCTCTGCTATGAATTGAGTTATGTTCCCCTGCAAAAGATATGTTCAAATCCTAACTCCTGGTATTTATGAACATGACCTCATTTGGAAATAGAGCCTTTGAAGAAATTATCAGTTGATGTGAGGCGTACTGGAGTATACAAATAGAGCAGGGATACAGGGACACACAGAGGGCAGATGGCCATGTGAAGATAGAGGTGATAAACACCGGATTTTGGACTCCTAGCCTCCAGAACAATAAATTTCTGTTTTTATAAGCCTCCCACTTTATGGTATTTTGCTACAGCAACCCTAGGAAACTAAGATAGAATTTGGTACCAGAAGTGGAGTGCTGCTATAACAAATATATAAAAATAAGAAAGTGGCTTTGGAATTGGGTAATGAGTAGAGGATGGAAGAGTTTTGAAACTCTTCATAGTAAAAGCCTTGAAGAGACTGCTGCTAGAATTATGGATTGATGGGCCTTCAGATTGTTTTCAAGTTTGTTGTTTTTCCCTCCACAAACAATGATGTGATTGCCATCTTTGTACATGCATCCTTACATAGTAGTGCTTATATTTCTTTTGATTGGGTTACTGGAAAAGAAGCTGCTGAGCCAAAGAGCATGTGGATGTTTGATTTGAATAGAGAGTGTCCTACTACTTCTCAGAAAAGCTCATTCAGCTGGTGCACATCCAATCAGTGGTATCAGCTGTCAGAATACTTAAATTCTTCCAGATAATTGGTAAGCAGTCATGGCCTGGAGCCCACTTGAGTATTTATCCAGTTGCTTTGGACACACTAGCCTTACTCCCTGTACCCTCTGACTATCCATCCACCAATTCAGAACCTCAAGAGGGTATCCCTGGCATGGTAGGTTCTTGGGGACCAGCTCAGGTGCTGCACCCAGTGTTTACTGGCTGGTATTATGAAATATCACTCCTGGCTGCAACAATTCCTGGGCTTGCCCTCCCCTAACCCCTTCTTAGATAGTGGTTGGGTGTTATCATTATTTTTTTTACCCCTCTAAAGGAGCAAGAAGTGGTATCTCATGGTTACCTTATTTTGCATTTTCCTAACTGCTGGTGAGGTTGAGAGTTTTTCCATGTTGGCCATTCATTTATATTTCCTCTTCTGTGAATAACCTATTTTTTCCTATTATTTGTATATTATTTTCATCTTTTATCTGTCACTTGTGTTGCATTTATTTTTCCCAATCTATCATTTGCCTTTTGACTTATCATTCAATTATCAAAAGAATTACATAATCAAATATGTCTGTCTTTTCCTACATTACTTACTGGTTTCATATGTTTGCTTTAAAAAGTCTCCTTAACTCTTACATTATATGTTGTTCTACTAAATTCCTCTCAATTTTTTTAAATATTTAAATCTTTACTTTATCTGAAATTTTATTTTTGTAAATGATATGACATAGGGGTCCAACTTAATTTTTTCTTTATGCGTGATAGCTCTGATAAAAATCAGTTTCCATCATGTTCTGATTCATGGCAACCCTGTGTGTGTCAGAGTAGAACTATGCTCCATGGGGTTTTCAGTGGCTGATTTTTTGGAAGTGGATTGCCAGGCTTTTCTTCCAAGGCATCTCTCAGTGAACTTGAACAGCGAACTTTTTAGTTAGGAGCTGAATAGATTAACCATTTACACCACTCAGGGACTCCCTATGGAGCAGTTGTGATAACACCACTTAAATACTATTCTTTCACACTGAATTGAAAAACCACTTTTGTCGTATATTAAATTCCTATATGTAAAAGTCTGTTTCTGGACCCTTCATATATGGTCTACTAATCAGTGTTTCTGTTCTTGTGCCAAACTATCTGCCTTGAATAGTGTCCTGAGAGTACCCTCACTGTTCAGCAGAGAAAGCTCTCCCTCTATGCTTTTATTTTTCAAAACTGTTTTGACTATTTCCCCCCCATGTTATTCCTTAAATTCTTAGATTGGTTTTCTCACCCCCTCATTAAAAAAAGAGAGAAAACCTGATTGAAAATTTAATTGAAAGTACACTAAGTTAGTATAATAAAATTAGGTAGAATTGACATTTTTGTGATACAAAGTTTTCTTACTCAGTATCAAATAATGTATTTTTTAAGGTTTCATTTTACATTATTTTATAGGTTGTTTTTTTTCCCCCCATATGGGTATTGTATTTACTGTTAGTATGGAGAAAAGTTATTGATGTTTCTAGGGGTACTAGACATTTTGCTAAATGAACTTATTAATTCTAATAGCTTTTAAAAAGTAAGAGTCCCTTATGCTTTCTAAGGTTGTGGTGGTGTTATTTGCCGTCGAGTCGCCCCTGACTCCTAGCGACCCCTCCTTGGGTTTCCGAGGCAGTTATCACTACGGAAGTAGGATTGCCCAACCTTCCTTCCGAGGAGTGGCTGGTGGGTTTGAACCGCCAGCCTCCTGGTTAGCAGTGGGCTGCTAACCAGAAGGTCAGCAATTCAAACCCACCAGATGCTTTGCAGGAAGAGGATGAAGCAATCTGTTTCCGTAAAGATTTTCAGCCTTGGAAACCCAGTGGAGGTAGCTATGCATCAGAATGGAGTTGATGGCAGAGTTGTATTTATTTATTTATTATTATTGAATGCTTTCTAGGTCCAATCTTCTTATCAATATCAAAAAGATAATTTTCTCTGTTCTTTTATAAGATTTTTATTATTTTCTTTTCTTGTTTTATCCCATGTACTAGAACCTCCAAAACAGCACTGAATAACAATAGTAATTCAACATTCCTTTTTTATTTATGATTTTAATGGGAATGGCTTTAGAATTCTACCTTTTGAATGTTTATTGTCTTTATCATATGTGAGTAGCTTCCTTACTACTTTACTACAGTCTGATATGACTCATAGCAACCCCTCCTTGGGTTTCCAAGGCCGTATCACTATGGAAGTAGATTGCCCAACTTTCCTTCTGAGGAGTGGCTGGTGGGTTTGAACCGCCAGCCTTCTGGTTAGCAGTCAAATGCCTTAGGCACTACACCACCAGAGCTGACTGCTAACCAGAAGTCTGGTGGTTCAAACCCACCAGTCACTCCTTGGAAGAAAGGTTGGGGCAATCTACTTCCATAGTGATACCACCTCAGAAACACAAGGAAGGGTCGCTATGAGTTGGATCAGACTCCATGACAGTGAATTTTTTTTTTTTTTTTGGTTAATAAATGTTATTAAATTCCCTTTTAGTGTCAACTGATGCAATTAGGAAATTTTTCCTTAGAATGAATTATGAATTATGCTGGTAGCTTTACTGGTATTGAAAGATCTCTGCAGTCCTGGGAAGTTATTTGGTTATAACATATTAATCACTTATTACAGTCCTGTTATTAATTTGCTGACATCTTTTTAGATTATTTAAAAAAAAAAAAAAAAGTCTATATTTGTAAATAAGGTTGACTTTTGGCTTTCTTTTTGGTCCTGCCTGATCAGGTTTTCTTTGGCCCTATGGTTATACTACCTCCACAGAATGAATTTGTGGTTGGTACAGCTTAAAACCACCATTGGTCTGTCAGTTTGTCGTACTGTGGTGGCTTGCATGTTGCTGTGAGACTGGTGACTATGTCACCAATATTTCAAATACCAGCAGGATCACACATAGTGGACAGGTTTCAGCAGAGCTTCCAGACTAAGACAGACTCAGAAGAAAGAAGGAGCATCCACTTCTCAAAAAATTAGCCAGTGAAAACCTTATGAATAGCCCTGAAACACTGTCTGAGATGAGCCCCTCAGTTCAGAAGACACTCAAAATGTGACTGGGGAAGGGCTGCTTCCTCAATGTAGTCAACATTAATGACATGGATGAAGTACAGCTTTCAGGACCTCCATTTGCTAATATGGCACAACTCAAAAAAGAAACAGCTGCAAACATTCATTAATAATTAGAACATGAAAGGTATGAAGTATGAATCTAGGAAAATTGAAAGCAGTCAAAAATGAAATGTTATATACAAAGATCAATCCTAGGCATTAGTGAGCTGAAATTAATAGGTTGTGGCCATTTTGAATCAGACAACCATATGACCTACTATGCTAAGAATGACAAATTGAAGAGGATGGTGTTGCATTCATTGTCACAAAGAATGTTTCAAGATCCATCCTGAAATACAGTGCTGTCAGTGATAGGATAATATCCATACACCTACAAGGAAGATCAGTTAATACTACTGTTATTCAAATTTACACACCAACCACTAACTCCAAAGATGAGAAAATTGAAGATTTTTACCGACTTCTGCAGTCTGAAATTGACCAAACATGGAGTCAATATATATTGATTATTACTGGTGATTGGAATGCAAAAGTTGGGAACAAAGAAGCATCAGTAGTTGGAAAACATGGCCTTGGTGATAGAAATGATGTCAGAGAGTGCGTAATAGAATTTTGCAAGACCAATGGCTTATTCATTACAAATACCCTCTTTCAACAACATAAGTGGTGGCTATACACATGGACCTCATCAGATGGAGTACACAGAAATCAAATCGACTGCGTTTGTGGGAAGAGGAAATGGAGAAGCTCGATGTCATCAGACAAAACAAGGCCAGGAGCTGACTGTGGAAGAGACCATCAATTGCTTATATGCAGATTCAAGCAGAAGCTGAAGACAATTAAAACAAATCCACAAACCAAAATATGATCTTGATTATATCACACCTGAATTTAGAGACCATTTGAAGAACAGATTTGATGCATGGAACACCATCAACCGAAAACCAGACAAGTTGTCGGATGACAATAAGAATACTATACATGAAGAAAGCAAAAGGTCATTAAAAAGACAGGAAAAGAAGAAAAGACTAAAATGGATGTCAGAAGAGACTCTGAAACTTGCTCTTGAATGGACAGTAGCTAAAGCAAATGGAAGAAATGACAAGATAAAAGAGCTGAACAGAAAAGCAACTTGAGAAGACAAAGTCAATTGTTATAATTAAATGTGCAAAGACCTGGAGTTCAAAAACCAAAAGGCAAGAACATGGTCGGCATTTCTTAAGCTGAAAGAAATGAAGAAAAATTCAAGCCATGAGTTGCAATATTGAAAAATTCTATGAGCAAAATATTGAATGATTCAGGAAGCATCAAAAGAAGATGGAAGGAATACACAGAGTCACTGTACCAAACAGAATTGGTTGCTATTCATCTATTTCAGGAGGTGGCATACGATCAAGAACCAACAGTATTGAAGGAAGTAGTAGTCCAAGCTGCACTGAAGGAACTGATGAAAAACAAGGCTCCAGGAATTGACGGAATACCCATTGAGATATTTCAACAAATGGATGCTGCACTGGAGGCACTTATTTGTCTATGCCAAGAAATTTGGAAGACAGCTACTTGGCTAACTGACTGGAAGAGATCCATATTCGTACCCATTCCAAAGAAAAGTGACCCCGCAGAATGTGGAAATTATCGAACAATATCATTAATATCACACACAAGTAAGATTTTGCTGAAGATAATTAAAAAACAGTTACAGCAGTATATTGGTAGGGAAATTCCAGAAATGCAAGCTGGATTAAGAAGAGGATGTGGACTGAGGGGTATCACTGCTGATGTCAGATGAATCTTGCCTGCAAGCAAAGAATACCTGAAGGATGTTTACTTGTGTTTTATTGACTGTGCAAAAGCATTTGACTGTATGGATCATCACAAATTATGGACAACATTGGGAAGAACGGTAATTCCAGAACACTAAATTGTGCTCATGAGGAGCCTGCACATAGACCAGGCTGTCATTAGAACGGAACAAGGGCATACTGCATGGCTAAAAATCAGGAAGAGTGTGCATCAGGGTTGTATCCTTTACCATACTTAGTCTGTATGCAGAGAAAATAATCCAAGAAAGTGGACTAAATGAAGGAGAACATGGTGTCAGGATTGGAGGAAGATTCATTAACAACCTGTGATATAAGATGACACAACCTTGCTTGCTTAAAGTGAAGCTGACTTGAAGCACTTACTGATGAAGGTTAAAGACTATACTCTGCAGTATGGAGTACACCCCAACATAAAGAAAATGAAAATCCTCACAACTGGACCAAAAAGTAGCATCACAATAAATGGAGAAAGGATTGAGGTTGTCAAAGATTTCATATTACTTGGATCCACAATCAACACCAATGGAAGGATCAGTCAATATATCACACATCGTATTGCACTGGACAAATCTGCTTCAAAAGACTTCTCTAAAGTGCTGAAGAGCCAAGATGTCTCTTTGAAGACCAAGGTGCACCTAACCCAAGCCATGGCATTTTTCAATAGTCTCATATACATATGGAAGCTGAATAATGAATAAGGAAGACTGAAAAAAGTTGATGCTTTTGAATTGTGGTGTTGGCAAAGAATACTGAAAATACCATGCACTTCCAGAAGAACTAACAAATCTGTTCTGGAAGAAGTGCAGCCAGAATGCTCCTTACAAGCAAGAATGGCCAGACTTCATCTCACCTACCTTGGTCATGTTATCAGACCATTCTCTAGGGACCCTTTCCTAGAGAAGGATATCATGCTTGGTAACATGGAGGGTCAGCAAGAAAGGAAAAGCCCCTCAATGAGATGGATTGACATGGTGGCTGCAATGATGGGCTCAGATACAGCTAGGATTGTGAGGATGGTGCCCAATGGGGCAGTGTTTCATTTTGCTATACACAGGGTTGCTATGCATCAGTGCCAACTTAAGGGCACCCAACAATAACCATAATAGCTTAAAAAGCACAGAATCATCTGCCATCTAAAGCTTGGCTACAACTCAGCTCATCATCACATGGCCTTCTCTCCAATATAGATATTTAATCAACTTCCTACCGCTTCTACGGAAACTAGAGCTCTTGTGATGATTATGTGAATAAAGACGGGGCCTTATCTGATGCCCTTCTGGTCAAATGCATTTCAGAATGTTCAGGAATTTAGCAGTTGGCATACAAGTTATTATGTAACACCCCACCAGAGGTAAGGCAATATATTTTATAGTCAAACGTAATAATGTTTCTGCAGTGATACAGTGATTCATGCTGGTTGGGGTAAAGTTTATAAATATTGTCTCCTACGGCACATAACAACAACAACAACAACAACATGCTCCACTAATGGGAGCTCTGTTAGCATAGTGCCTAAGGCACTTGACTGCTAACCAGAAGGCTGGCAGTTCAAACCCACCAGCCACTCCTTGGAAGGAAGGTTAGGTGATCTACCTCCGTAGTGATACTGTCTTGGAAACCCAAGGAGGGGTAGCTATGAGTCGGGTCCAACTCAGTGTCACATAACAACAACAACAACATGCTCCACTAATAACCGAAAGTTGGCAGTTCACGTCCACCCAGAGACACCTTGGAAGAAAAGTTTGGCAATCTAATTCTGAAAAATCAGCCATTGAAAACCTTATGGAAAACACCATTCTACTCTGAAACACGTAGGGTCACCATGAGTCAGAGTTGACTTGATGGTGACAGCAACTGGCAAATATCTTCAGGACCAGGTTGCTGCCAGTGAATTTACTGCCAATTTTTGGAAAACCTTGCACTTTTCAGAACTGTTTAAATTTCAGAATAAAGGGTAGGGATTATGATCTGTGCATGGTAACCCTTAGAATCATGCTTAGCATGATGAACGCCAGCTGTTTTTCTGCCCCAGAGCCCTGATGCCTGTCCTCCATGGGGACTACCACAGCTCCCACCACCTCTGATTATACCAGGCCTCCTTCTGGTCTGTCCTTGATGCCTCCCTCCTGCTCTTTCCCCTACGAGCCGTTTCTGGCCCTGGGTCTTGTTTCTGCTGCTTGTATTCCAGCTCCCACAGTGTCACAGAGGGCTGGTGCTTTGCAGAAAGCATTCAGGAATGAATAGAGAAGAAAGTTCCCTTGGCTCCTCCACCATGTCCTGGCTGGAGGCAAGAACTGTGGACACTTGGAAAGCAGCACACCCAGGGCTGGAGCTGGCATTGTCCAGACCCTTCGCCTCAGCAGTGCTGTGGTAGCCTCAGTCCCCAGTTCAATTCACAGATGTCTTTCCCCTGTCTGGCCCTGTGAGTGTTTGGATTTGGGGCTCCTGATCAGGGATACCAGCCTGTGGGTAAGGTAGTATCTTGTCCCAGGGCAGGTCCCCTACAGAGCAGCTCTCCCAGCCAGGAGTTTCTCTCGGGCATCTTGGGGACTGGCTGGCAAGAAGACACAAGGGATACCAAAAGATCAAAAACAATTACTTGTTTTTCCCATCCACCTGGCAGAGCTTTCAGCACCCCTTCCCAGGAGATGTGAGGCTGATGTGTGGGCAGATTCCTCATCTCCCCCAGAGCCCTGGATTGTGGAGTAGGGGGTGGGAAATGCACCTAAGTGGAGCTGGGTGGACCTACCTGGATTGCAATGGGAATCATCTTGTTGTCCAGATTCTTATACAGCAAGCAGATGGGTGCAGCCAGGAATTGCAGTGTGCATGGATCTGTTTTGTTGGCGTCAATGCCATCCAGTAGCTCAAAGTCCACGATGAAAATGTTCCCTTGCTATGGACAGGAGACAGGAGACAGGAGGAAATACACCCTCTCCTCACTTACTGATTTTCTCATTTTCTGACATTTCATATTTATGACAATAGTAAAAATTGTACTATCTGACCATTTGGCACATTCATGATGTACATGTGGCAGTAACGAACTCTGAGGTGCAAAGTGAGAGTAACACTGGGTGTGGTGGTTAAAGTTATGTGTCAATGTGACTGGGCCATGATTTTCAGTGGTGTGGAAGTTATGCAATGATGTAATTTGGCAGTTATGCAATGATATAATTTGGAAGTTATGTAATGATATAATTTCACAGTTGTTTAATGATGTAGTCATCCTCCATTTTGTGATCAATAGTGATCATCCTCCATTTTTGCATAATGCTGAATTTTGCATAACAGTCTGGTCTTTGGAACCAAACCATGTTAATAAGTGAGGAGTGGGTGTATATCCACCTCAGTTTCAGTGAGAGATAGACCTGAGAATCAGGCCACAGGGAGGGTAGGACAGACTTTGGAGGTCCTGGGAAGCTCAGGAGAATTCAGAACTTGTTTCTTATCCTTACTCAAAGGCTGATGTTAGATCAAACAGAGCCATGGAAGAGTTTTCACAGGTTGGGCCTTCAGTATGGTAATAAAATAAAACTAAAACTGAACCCAATGCTGTTGAGTTAATTACAACTCATAGTCAATACAGAAGCAAATTGCCACATCTTCCTCCTACAGAGCACCTGGTGGGTTCAAACTGCCAACCTTTCAGTTAGCAGTTGAACACTTAACCGCTGTGCCACCAGAGCTAAACAGTAATGGCCAATTCTATGTTTATTGTACCTAAAACTTGCTTGACCCTCATGAAAGATGTTGGAAGCCTACCCAGAATGGCAGTTTGATAAGAAGAAAGCTCATAGAATATAGATGAAAGAGATGAAAAAGTCAAATACAAGAGTAATGTTGTAGAACTTCACTTACATGAGGTTCAAAACTAGGCAAACTAGTCTCAGGGGTCAGAAGTCAGGGTAAGAGTTATCCTTCAGAGGAAGAGCCTGGAAAAAGCTGATACTGGTTAGGGGCTCTGGAGGGACTGTGTACTCTGGGTCCTGATCTGTGGCTAATTACTGATCTGTGGTGGGACCACTGTGTGATAATGTGTCAAGCTTGCTGACTGTTGTAGGTTGAATTGTGTCCCCCAAAACATATGTTCAAGTCCTAACCCCTGTCTCCTGTGAATGTGACCTTATGTGGAAATAGGGTCTTTGCAGATGTAATTAGTTAAATTAATGTGAGGTCATACTAGAGTAACCAAAGCAAACCAAACCCACTGCTGTCAAGTTGATTCTGATTCATAGTGACCCTGTAAGACAGAGTAGAGCTACCCTATAGTGTTTCTAAGGCTATAACTCTTTATGGAAGCAGACCATGTCATCTTTCTTCCATGGAGTGGTTGATGGTTCAAACAGCCGATCTTTCAGTTAGCCACCAAGTACTTAATCACTGATTAGTACTTAATCACTGATCTAGGTAGAACACCAGGGCTCCTTTACTGGAGTAAGGTGGGCCCCAATTCAGTATGACTGGTGCCCTTATAAAAGAAGGATGTGGTAGTTAAGATTGTGTGTCAGCTTGGCTGGGCTGTGGTTTTGAGTGGCTTGGCAGTTGGATGTAGGTATTTCCCGTGACGAGATTGTAATCACCTCTATGGTAGAATCTGGTGTGAGCAGCTAAGTAATGGAAGGAGAGTTGCCTTTGGGTGTTGCCTGCTTCTAGTATATATGGAGTAGTCTTGGGAAAGTTCTCTAGCTATTGGCATATCTGGATCCTGCATTTGGCCAAGTCTTCATCTCCAGTTTCTGGACTTGAGCCAGCAACCTGCCATGCTGCCTGCTGATCTTAGAACTGTGCCATTTTACTTGTGACCTTGGGTTCATCAGCCTCAGCAGCCAGCAGCTGCATGAATTAGGAGACTCCTCCAGCTCCAGTGGGTCTGGAACATGAGGCAGAGGTGAAACCCAAGGTCAAAGGGACTTCACCCAGCCCCTAGAACCAGAATTCTGAATTTGGACTTCTAACCTCCTAAAATGTAAATGAATAAATTCCTATTTGTTAAAGCCATCCACTTGTGGTACTCCTGTTATAGCAGCACTCGAGAACTGAGACAGGAGAATAGACACAGACATAGACACAAAGAGAAGATGGTCATGTGAAGACAGAGGCAGAGACTGAAGTGGTACTGCCGCTGCAAGCCAAGGAATGCCTGGGGCTGCCTGAAGCTTGGAGAGACAAGAACAAATCTTCCCTTAGAGCCTTTGGAGGATGTGGACCTTGCCAATACTCTGATTTTGGGCTCCAAGCCTCCAAAACAGTGAGATAATAAATTTCTGATGCTTTAAGTTTCCTAGTTTGTGGTACTTTGTTATGGCAGCACTAACAAATGAATACGCTGCACTCATGGTTTGTACTTTTTCTATAGTTATACTTCAATTTGAAAAAAATAACATAACTGATTTGGGGATATAGAAATCTGTCCTTTTACAACTACACTTTGAGTCCTCTAGAGGGAGCCCAACTTGCCAGCGTGAGTTTTCCTTTAGTTAGGTCAGGACTCTGCTCAGTCAGAACTTGAATAGCTCAGGTAGGTGCCTCACTCACTGCTCACTGCTCACTGCTGTTGAGTTGGTCCCGACACACAGTGACCCCTCCGTGGGCTTCCAAGGCAGTATCTCTATGGAAATAGATTGCCTAATCATCCTTCAGAGGAGTGGCTGGTGAGTTTGAACCGCCAGCCTTCTGGTTAGCAGTCAAATGCCTTAGGCACTATGCCACCAGAGCTCCTAGGTAGATGCCCAGGGACCTTTCTTCTAAAGCCATTTTTTGTTTCAAGCAAGTTATGATGGAAAGGCTTGTGGGTCCCAGCTAGGGGCAGTGTCAGGGTCTATAATATTTGGAGAAATTACAAAGCAGTAAAGTTAGGAGTGTCTTACTGGTAAAATTCTTTTCTCCCATGTGGGAAATGTGGGTTTGATTTCCAGCCAATGTGTCTTATGTGTATCTACCACCTATATCAGAGGTGCCTTGTATATTGCTATGATGCTGAACAGGTTTCAGTGGATCCTCCAGACTAAGAAGAACTAGGAAGAAAGGCTTGGCAATCTATTTCCAAAAATGAGTCCGTGAAACTCTATGGATTACAACAGACCAATCTGCAACCAATCATGGGGATGGCATAGGAATGGGCAGCATTTCATTCTATTGTGCAGGGGTTTGCCAGGAATCCTGGGCTGACTCAACAGCAGCAACCAACAATGAAGTTAGGAGAGATGGGCCAACAGATGCTCAAGTGAAATGCATCCATGTTTATGAATCTTCTTGCAGAAATAACATTATGGGCAACCATGCACAATCTTGATCAACCCCAATAGAGCTGTTGAGGGCTTGTTGCTGAGAAAAGTGTCAAGGACAAGAGGGTTTCTCACAGCTTAGTCATCATCATCATTCTCTTCAGACTTGGAGGCCCTTGCAGTGTATCTGACAACTAGTTGTGAATTCCAAGAAGTCTTCCTCTGGATGTGTGTGAAGCCAGGTGAGGAGATGAGGCAGGAGGAGGATGGGAGAAGAGGTTCCAGGAGAGTCTAGATGTGGAGACCCACAGATCCATGGCTCAGCAGGCTGTCTGAGGCCTCCATGACTAGGTGAATAACTGGACTTTCAGAGCTGGTGTGATCATCACCAACAACGGTGCAGAAGAAGTGGCTGCTAGTCCAGCTTTCGGATATTACAAGCTGGCTACCACAATGAATGACAGGATAAAGAGAGGTGCTGGAGACTCAGGCCTTGGACCAAGAGGTCTGGAGTTTCTCTGTTATCCCAGCTTCTTCCTCTCCCTGGGCCTCAGTTTCAAGCTTCTGGACAATGGGTCTGGACCCTCTCAGTCTGCCATTGTAGGATTATGTGGCACACACTGGTGTTTTTCTGTCTAGTGTCTCTGTCCTCTTCTTTGGATAGCAGCACTCCTCCTGGTCAGCATATTCCATTCTTCTGTCCACAGGGATTGGTTCAGGGAATTCTTTCATGACTCAAGCTGGGCCTGTGAGAACCAGCCCTAAAATGTTTGCTGGAAGTATTGGGAAAAAGAATTTTTCTTTCTGGGAGTAGGTAGTGTTTGCTGAGTTGGTGGAAGGTAAATCTGAAGCTATTGGTGGTCATCTTTATCTCCACTTAAGGAGCTCCTGCCTAAGAAAAGAGCCATGGAAGGAAGTCAGAATTGAGAAATAGAGGGAGACAACGCCAGTGGCATCATCTGAGCCCCTGGATCCAGCTATGCCTGAAACTAGTCATAATCCTCTTGGAATAAACCAGTTTGAGTTGATTTTTGTCATTTGAAACCAAAGGATTCTAATATAAAGTCAAAGAACTAAAACAATCTTGGAGAGTTGTAACAATGAGTCAAAACCAACAGAAGGGGTAAAGTTTCTCTGTTCATGTTCTAAGAAATAATTGTACACGTAAATATTTTTATACACCTCAAAGTTTGCAGATTTTGAAGGTCACAAGCTTATTAAGATGCTGCCAAAGAAAAGTTGCACAAGTGATTACAGGAATTAAGAAGAATTGTACTAGTGTATGTCTGAGATAGGAGATGTGTGTGTATAAGACATGGGATGGAAGTGATGCATGTATGTAAGAGATACAGGTGATGTTTGTAAGAGATGGAGTGACGTGTGTGTAAGGGAGGCAGGTGATATATGTGTGGTGAAGAAGTGAGATAATGTGTGTGGAAGAGATTATGTGGGTATATGTGCGAGAAATGGGGTAAAGTGTGTGTGTGTAAGAGGAAGGAGGTAGTATGTGTGTCTCAGGGTCTATCCATGGAGGCTATCAGACTATCACTTCACTACCAAAACCACAAGTATTGAGATCATGAAGTGGTGTATTAGCTCAAAGGGATGATAACCATTGTGACAAAGGTGCCCACAGACCTGCAACCAACCACTGGGAGGTATAAACGACTCTACAGGCAGTCTATGTCCCTGCCTGGTTGCGAGGAGGGATGCTCAGTTCCTTCCAATTCTAGATTCTCTGAATTTTAAGGTTCCATGACTCTCTGATTTGAATTCTGAAACTTACAGCCGCTGAACTGATTTTAATTATACATCAGCAATGGAATCTACAGAGAACTACTGCTGTGTGTGTGTGTGTGTGTGTGTGTGTGGTGTGAGTTGTCACATGGCCTGATAGTGTCCTGGGACTCAAGCAGGTGCAGGAAGGGAGGCAAGGACTGCCTGAACTGGGGTAGGGGATTTCACCAGGACAGGTGAGCAGCAGCTGGGAGATGTGTCTGCAGATGACACTGCCCATCCCTCTCTGGCTGGGCCCCAAGGCAAGGCTGAGCAAGCAAGACAGGGTGACTGGAAGCACAAGAGCCTGCCCAGATACCTGGGGGCAGGTGGGGCTGGGGCAGGTGGCAGGAAGCCCAGTTTTCCTGGTTTTGTTAGGTACTGAGGACTATTCTTTGGACCATGTCCCAACCAGATCCAGGTAAGGATGGTTTAACCCCCTTCTGTCTCAAGACCTAGTAGTCTTGGAACACAACAGGGTTGATCCTGCAGGTAAGGGCTGGGGAGAGGATGAAGGCAGAAGTAGATGACACCAACTGTTCTAATCAGGAAGTCAAACATTCCATCAGTTTTCTGTCTTTTTCTGTTCTGGTACAGGGCCTGACTTTCTCCAATTTATCCACCTTTGCAAGGTGAGTGACAGAACATGATGACGATGATGTATGGAAGCCTGTCACAATATCTGGTGCACAGTAAGGCCCAAGTGAGCAGTAACACTTTCAATTAACTGTTGCTATTATGTTCTAGCTATTATGTTCTAGAGGAGCTCTGGTAGCATAGTGCCTAAGGCACTTGACTGCTAACCAGAAGGCTGGTGGTTCAAACCCATCAGTCACTCCTCGGAGGGAAGATGGGGCAATCTACTTCCATAGTGATACTACCTCAGAAACCCAAGGAGGGGTCGCTATGAGTCGGGTCTGACTCGACGGCACATAACAACAACAACATTATGTTCTAGGAGTCCTGGGTGGCACAAATGGTTAAGTGTGTGATTACCAGCCAAAAGGTTGGCAATTCAAATCCACCCAGATGGCCTCAGAAGACAGGCCTGATGATCTGCTTCTGAAAGGTCAAAGCCTTGAAAACTCTATGGAATAGTTCTACTCTGCACACATGGGGTCACCACGAGTCGGAATTGACTCAACAGCAGCCAACAACAATATTGTGTTGCCAGATCCCAGCATCATGGAGAATGTCACTTGATTCCTACCCCTCAATGTGATACAAGGCAATTTGTGGTTGCACCTGGGACACCCAGTGGGCATAGACCTCAAGGGGAGGAAAAAGAAGGGGCTTTTCACTGAGTTCAGCTTATCTCACCATCAACCAGAAAGATGAACCAGGAGATGGAGACCAAGAGCTAGGGAGCACTGGGCAGTAAGAACTGCTTTGTGGCCCTGAAGATGTGACTGAGACCATCTGAGCTGGGCCTCTGGCTTTGGCTGAAGTCACCAGCCAGTGGGGCTTACCTCAACCTCCTCCTGCAGGGTGAGCTGACGCTCCAGGCTACACTCCACCATTTCCGTGGTCACCGGGAGCTTCTCAGGGAGCTTCCTGCACTGCTGGATCAGCACAGGGTTGCAACCGTTCAGGAACTGGTAGCCGAACATGAGGTCTTCCTGCCAGTGATTCATGACCCGCTCTAGAGGGGAAAGTGAGCTCTGAGCAGAGGGCAGTCCAGGCTGTGTCCCCATGGACTCTGGCTCTAACATCATGGACAGGGAATACTTAATCTTTCCAGGGGCCCACCCTGTCCTGGACAGCTGGGGCCCACAGGCTCCATGCTGAGCTGCTTGTCCCCTGCCCATCACCATCTCATCTGTCTTCTCTGCACTGGGACCTGTGACACAGAAGACTCCTGGAGCACTCTCTTTACAGAACTCAGCTCTTCTAGTCCAGTGTGCAGGGGCCCACAGGTCCCAGGATGGACGGAGAGGGGAGAAGACTCATAGGGAGAGTTTGCACAGGCAAGTTTTCCCCATATGTCTATTTCAATACTTATTATTTGTCCAATCATATCTTTCTCCTTATTTTTCTGGTGATGTTCTGTCCTTCCTATGCCATTACTGTAATTACTATGCTAGTACTCCAACCAAACAAATCCTAGTTCCAAGGAACCCAATGTTACTTCTATGAGAATGCTTAAAACACAAGTTCCATTCTACCTCTACTCTGTTCAGAAGCATCACAAATGACTGACTTTTGTAAAGAAAAAAAAAAAAAACCCTGCTATTTCTGAGACTTTTAATGAAGCAATGAGGTTGAGGGTACTTAACTGTGACTATCCTAGCAGGAGAAACCTCTAGGAAAGAGGGTGATCCCAAGTAACACAGACTTCCATGGGATATGGGGACACTGCCTGGGATGGACAGAAGCCCAGTGTAGGCAGAGATGGGGCAACCCTTTGCTAATCTGCAGGCCAGTCTCAGACAGGAGAATGGCAGGACTTCTCCCCATACCATGTTGTTGTTGTTGTTATGTGCCATTGAGTCAGCCCCGACTCATAGCGACCCCTCCTTGAGTTTCCGAGGCAGTATCACTATGGAAGTAGATTGCCCCATCTTCTTTCCAAGGAGTGACTGGTGGGTTTGAACCACCAGCCTTCTAGTTAGCAGTCAAGTGCCTTAGGCACTATGCTACCAGAGCTACCCCTACACCATGAGAAGCCCTCAAAAGGTGTCCTCACCAGAAATAGTGTTGCTGATCTTGACAAAGATTTTCTCAAAGTCAGCGAAGTCACTCCAGGAGGACTGGAACATGTGCATGAAGCAATTGATGAACAAATTCTCCATCCTGCAGATAGGAGATGCATCATTCTCATGCCTGGACCACACCCCCTCTACAAAGCCGTTTCACCCCCAGATCACACAGGGCCACTAGGTACCAAGGAGCACTGGGACCCATGAGACCAGGGAAATTCTGGTCAGGTCTTGTGGAATCAGGACAGAAACCATACCTCCTGCCCCTCACCTACAAGAGAACCTAGGGCCTGCCATCAGAACTAGTCCACATGAAGTGCCTCTAATACCTTTCATGCACACTTCCAGTCACTCATTCCTCCACCTGGTGGTCTAGCTCCTGTGTGAGCTTTCAGGGAGAGAGCTTAATACCTCCCATGCAGCTTATCTTCCCACTCTTCTGGAGTTTGGGGAATGGGAAGTTCAGTTGTTTAACCCTCATTTATTTCTGCTTAACTCTGCATGTGTATCTGGTACTGAAGTGGACATAAGTTTCCAAATGCTCATTACCTAGGATGACAAAACAGAAATCCAAGGAAGGAGATCACTGTGTTCAAAATGCAGGTTGCACATAGTCAGAAGTGCAATCAAAGGGGTCTGAACAACCCCAAGGGGTTCTTGGAAGAGGCAGGCCCTGGGATGGGTCTGGGAAAGGTAGAGGAGATGGGACAGACTTCCCAACATAACCAAAAAATGGTGCAAGACAGAAGTTTAGGAATTCTGTCCTGTGTTCACAATGACATCTCTGCCTCAATTTCTCTGGCATGCATGACTAAGAGTTATCCTGTTTCCTCCCCACCATCAGTTATCCTGTTCCCTGCACCTACTCCCTGAGCCTTGACTCTGGCTGTGCCTCTGAGCTCAGGCTCCCCATCTTCTCTGTGTTTTATTCCTCCCGACTCATGGCCTTTGCACGTAGAGCGCCCTCTGCAAGAGACGCCTGGTGCCTCTCTTTCTTCTACAGAACACATGGGGTGAGTGGATCCAGAGGGCTCATGAGTGTACCTCACTACTCCTGTAGGGCACACCATCCCGTCCCCAGACCAGGCCAGGCCCCTGTCACACAACCTCCTGCTCATTTCCCCTTCAGCACAGTTTAGGGGCAGGTTCATTTGTATGAGCAGTCCATAGCAGTCTGACCCTCATGAGACTTCAACCACCATGAGGACCAGGGAAATCTTAGATGTTCCTCCTCGAGCCCCAGGATTCCAAGCACACAGAGGCACTCATCAGTGTCCACCAACTGAATGAAAACATTAATACAAACTCCTGGTGCTCGGATAGAAGTTCCCTCTCTTTGTCTGCCCCATCCTCCCAGGTGACTGGCTAGACCCTTAACTTCTAGGGCTTAGCACTCCCGTGGACTCCTTCCTGCCATGGCTGGGCAGCGTGCTGCATACATGTCCAAGCATTGTCATGGGAAAAGTCTGGGAGCCTAGAACCCCTCTCTCATGCTCCCCAATCCTGCAAAACTCAAAGGACTGAGGTTTGGGAGTTATATCTAGAGTGAACTTGGCTGACAGGGACAGAGCCTGTGAGTTCAGCCTCAGAGGTAGGGTCTGTGATGTCCCAGCTTGGTCACCCTGAGCAACCCAAGGCTGTCAACCTACAAACAAGCAGGAGATACTGGGTCTCTCCCTGGCCTCCTGGTATAGGGAGGCATCCTCAGATAGAATATCAAGTATGAAGGGGACTGTGGTGCATGGAGGATGCAAGGGCCTGAGAGCTGTGGTGGGCATGGTGCATGCAGGGGGTTCCCAGCAGTCTAGAGCTGCACAATAGTGCTAGCATCATGCTCTGGTCCACTTGCCTTCTTCTGGGAAAGAGGTATCCCAGCGCCTCATGGGAATGGGAGGAAGAGCTTTTTGAAACCTACTCACAGTGTCTGTCCAGGCTCCTGCGCCCTTGTCACTATGCAGCAGCTGGGCCTGGGGGCCTCCAGCCAAATTTCTCTAGCCTTTATTGCCCTTTCCTTGCCCAGTGTTCTTGGCCCTTCTCCACCTCCCTTGTTAGCCAGGGATTCCTAAGTATCCTGGGAGAGAAACCCTCATCTCACTGTGACTGTAGCACGGAAAAGGTCTTGTTTCTGGGGGAGGAGAGCCCTTTCCAGGCACCTAAATTCCCTGGGTACCTGAAAGATGTTTTAGCCACCAGATGGGTGCCCCAGAACGAGGTTTTTACCTGGGATACCTCTTTGGTGTTTTGGTCCTCTACCAAAAAAAAAAAAAAAACCTCACTGCCATTGAGTCGGTTTCTACTCATAGCTACCCCTCCTTGGGTTTCTGAGGCAGTATCTCTATGGAAGTAGACTGCTCAGTTTTCTTTCCCAGGAATGGTTGGTGGGTTTGAACCACCAGCCTTCTGGTTAGCAGTCAAATAAATGCCTTAGGCACCATGCCACCAGAGCTCCTTTTGGTTCTTCAGTGCTGCTCTAACAGACACACCACAAGTCGATGGCCTAACAAACAGGGATTTTTCTCTTTTAGTTTGTTGTTATTTGCCATCGAGTCGGCCCCGACTCCCAGCGACCCCTCCTTGGGTTTCCGAGGCAGTAATCACTACGGAAGTAGGATTGCCCAACCTTCCTTCCGAGCAGTGGCTGGTGGGTTCGAACCACCAGCTTCCTGGTTAGCAGTCAAGTGCCTTAGGCACTATGCTATCAGAGCTCCTTCTCTTTTAGTTTAGGAAGCTAAAAGTTGGAGCTCAAAGCACCAGCTCTCAAGGCTGTGTGAAAGCCCCTCTACCTTGCACTTCAGCTCTGCCCCTTGCTCCTGACCACTGGAGCTAGAGGCATCTCTTAACTCAGGCAGCTGACAAACCTAAACTCGACAAGTAAAATGGCACAGTCCCCAAATTATCACGCAACATGCCAAGCCACTAACTCAAGTCCATTAACAATCACAAGATCGGCAGACAACATGGCAGGCCACTGAGATGAAGATGGCCAAATGGAGGATCCACATGTGTCAAAAGCTCCAGATCTTCCTCAAAGCTTCTTCTTATATACTGGAAGCAGACCACATCCTTAAGGCAGTCTCATCATGGGGAATGACTACATCTAGCTGCCCAGCCACTGAAAACCAGGCCCAGCCAAGTGTCAGCTACCATACTCGGTGATCTTGTGGGGAGCTGGGAGTGAGTCAGGCTGAGAGATCATGTTTTCCCAACTGAGTCTCTCTTTAAAACAGAACATTAACACTGGAAATAGGGTGGAGTGTGGCAGCACTCAGAGGAAGCTACAAATCCAGGAAGAAACGAAGTTAGGAGGAAAATATTTGCCTGTCATCTAGGGGCAAATATTTCTACATATTTATAGACAAGCAGACTATTCAAGACTTCAAAGATCTGTTATTGTACAAAAGAGGAACCTGTGGCCTGAATAACCTCTACTCACCCAGGTCACCCAGCCCGACTGCCAGCCCCCAGCCTCCTCTGGGCTAGGCACAGCTGTGGGCCATGTACCAGGGAGATGGGAACTCTTGGCCCCTCTGCTTCCCCTGCCTCTTCTCTTCTTCTAGTAGCTTCTTCATTTCTCATGTCACAATGCAGCTGCCTTTTTTGGGGGGAGGGGGCAAGGCTTACAGAGGAGGGCTGGCCTCACTCCAGGAAAAGCAGGTGGCTCAGAGGAAGCAAGTCACCAGAGTTACCCAGAAGCAAAGAGAAACAAAGCCGTGCAGGGCTGGAGGCTCACTGGGGAGGCCTCATTGGTGACCTCAGGCATGCATTCCAGATAGTCACAGGCAGGATAGAGTTTGGCCAGAGCAGAATGGTGTTTTCTCAACAAGAGCTGTGGAGGGCGTAGGCCTGGCCTGAGTCTGTCCAGGACCATTGGTGAAGCAGGCCATGCTCCACTTGTGGGCACAGTTTCTCCAGCAGTGTTGGAGGCCCCCACCCCCACCCCAACAAGGATCCTGGAGTAGGTATGGAAATTCAGGTGTGGTGAGATGGTGCAAGTCACACCAAGCTCCAAGGGCTTAGACTGAAATTCTAGCTCCAGCCCCTCCCAGTCACGTGACCTGGGGCAAGTCCCTGAACTCTCTGGGCCTCAGTTTCCTCATCTGTGAAATGGGGATAGAAATTCTGAGCTTCCTGGCCCTGAATCTAAGGGGCAACTTTGGATTCATCTCGGTGCCACCTACCCCTTCAAACCCAGGAGCTCAATAAGCATTTGTCAAAGGTGGAGTAGCACGTATCTTCCTTGGATGCCCTTGCCCCGTGGGGGAGGTGAAAGCCCAGAATAGCCAGTAAGCAGGCAAGTGACAAAAAGAGTTCGCCAGGCTTGCCAGGAATGCAAAGAAAGTCTTACCAAGTACAAAATAAAATAAAACCAAACTCACTGCCATAGAGTTGATTTCAATTCCTAGTGACACCATTGGGTTTCTGAGGCCATAAATCTTTACAGAAGTAGATCACCCCATCTTCCTTTCACAGAGCGGCTGGTGGGTTTGAACCGCTGATGTTTTGCTTAGCAGCAAAATGCCTTATCCACTATGTCACGGAAAATCCCCAGAACACAGATCAAGAGGGGAACTGTGCCAGATATGATGGGGCACTGCATATACCAGTTCATCTAAATCTCATAACAACACTATGAGACAGGCATAATTAACTTCATTTTATAGAAAGAAAACTGGGCATTGGAAAAGTTAAACAACTCTCCCAAGATGGTGCAACTGGAGTGTGAAATCAAACACAAGGAGCCAGGCTCTACATAAAATAATCTTTTGCTTTCAAGGAGTAGTTAAAACCAGTTGTCATTGAGCCAACTTCAATTCATGGCAACTTCATGTGTGTCAGAAAAGAACTGTCCTCCACAGGATTTTCAATGACTGATTTCAGTCAGAAATATATCACCAGACCTTTCTTCTGAGGTACATTTGGGTGGACTCAAACCTCCAACCTTTTGTTTAGCTGCCAAACATATTTACCTTTTGCACCACCCAGGGACTCCAAGGGGTAATTAGAGATGTGTTAACACATTATTCTATCATTTAAATTTTTTTCTTTCCAGGAAAACAGAGTATAACTTGCTACTCGAACTGTAGTCCATGGCCC